AACGAGAAAACTTTCCGAATGAAATCAAATTCAAATTAGCCAAAACAGACGCCCAAGGAAGGTGAGGCCTTACGGGCAGCGGCAGGGGCAGGGGCAGGGGCAGTGGGTGTGGCACGATAATGAGCCAGATGAAAATGAGCATCCAGCAACAACACCAACACCAACGCCAGCGACTATAACAATTCAAATATAATGAATGAAATTATGTTGAAAACATATTTTTCCTCTGTTCGAGGCCCACAAAAAAAAGAAAAAAAAAACAAAAAAAGACGGTGGAAAAATGTCGACAAACTTTGTCCTGACCGGTTTCCCAGCGGTTCTGAGAGGAGGGAAGTGGTTAAGGAGGCACAGAATGGGAGTACACCAGAACAGGACCAGAGGGAGGCTGTTTTCCTATTAGCAAGCAATAAATTTGTCGCTCTTATTGAGCCAAAAGGTAGGAGTAGGCCACACGCCAACAAGGACACACAACACAGAGCCAGAAAACATAGATAGGACATACGACATTAAACGATGTGGGGGACGGGGAGAAGACGAAAAGCGGGACTGACTCCAAACAGGAAGAGCCGGGGGAGGCATAGGAATAGGACACAGGACATAGGACGGAAAACGGAAGTGGAAGGCAACCGGTAGATGGTTGCGTAGTGGAAAATGTCGCCCAAGGGTGTAAAGTTGCTTTTTGGTTGTTCGGGATATTCGGGATGTTCTGGGACAGGACAGTACGGGACAGCAGAGATGCTCCCGAACTGGACTGGTCCACAAAGTGGGGAAGGGAGAGGAGAGTTCGGCTGCGAGGCGAAGGCCGTTTCGGGAGGCTATAACTTTATGATTGCTTTTGTATTGCCTCCTGCGTTTGGGGGCCCGACACGCGACACTCTGGCTCATAGATAAAATGCTGTTACAGTGGAAATGGCCAATGATGGACATTTCCGGGAAACCTTTTCTTTTTTTTTGTTCCTGTCACTCCCATCACTCCTGCTGCTCCTGCTCTTTTGTTTACAATATAGTCACTGTATTGGCTCAGAGGGGTGAGAATGGTGTGAACGGCCCCTTAATGCATTCGGATTAGATGGAAATCTGGATTGAATTCAAATAAAAGAGCGGGATACTGCTTGGATTGAACTGATTGAATGAAAGGTGGGTACCATTGGAATGGAAGGCATAAATAGTGGGGTTATAAACAGAATGGAAATTACGTTAATCGTTAAGAATGTTGGTATAAGTATGTAAATCGATGATCAGCGAACTTAAAAATGATCAAATGCATTTCGTAGGAAAGTTATATCCAATATCTATGGCGGATTGAAACGGTTCCAAGGCCGAATTCCACACTATCGGATCTTTACTGTGAATACTTTTAGGCGGCAACAGTGAGAACAAACAAACCCGATTCCGCTCTTGGGCCACCGATACGCATCGCTCATCGGCATCCAGCCGGTCACCGAGGACGGAGAGTGGGCGGACGGACCCGAACCCCAAAACGACCGAAACATAAATGAATGAAACAAAGGCAATTACAACAAAGACAACAAAAGCGAGCAGAGAAAGAAAAGCAAAGCAGGCCGGCAGCCATGGGAGGCTGGGGGATGGGGGCAGAGGCAAAGTGGAGGAGCCGGGCTAATGTCCTTTTTGTGTGTGGCCACACTGTTTGTATTGTTATGACTCCGTTCACCCCTCATGCTCCTCTCGACCACTGGTCACCCACTGCTTACCCCTGGCTCTTTCAATGCTCCTCAACTGCTTTACCACTGCTCCACCCCTGCTCTCCTGCTGAGGCAACCCTGGTCTTCCACTGTTTTTTTTACTGATCTCACACTGCTCTCCCTGCTCTTTTCTGCAGTGCTGCTGCTTGTCCACTGCTGCTTCTTCACTGCTTTCCTGCTTTACTGCTTTCCTTTCCACAGCTCGTCAAATTTTCCAGCTTTTACACTGCTTTTCATCTACTTGAATACCTCTTTCATCTGGCTCTTGCCGCCCGCGGCCCTGCAGCCTCTTTGTTCTTACTTTTGCTTGTTCCCGCAACAATTATGATTTTGCAGCATCCTCTCTATCTTATTGGGCTCTAATTCATTGTGTGTGGCCCATTGATGGATGGATGGACAGGGCTGCTCTTAAAATAATGTAATAAAACTCAGAACCCATCAAACAGCGGAAAGACCATTGAAAACTTCAGAAATTTGTGCACTTTTCATCTCCCAAGAGGATTTATCTGACATCTTCACACTTCATCTGCAGCTCCTATCTCTTATCGCTCTAGCCTTCGTTCCTTTCCATCTTCAGATATCATTTTTCGTTAATGGTTTTTCATTTTATCTGCGGGCGGTCCCTATCTTTCTTCCCCTCGCTTCCATCTTCATCTCCACCTCTATCTCAATATCTCTCTCCTGTTTGTCCTCTTTGCTTGCATTTCATTTAATTAAAAATTGCAAAGTGTTGAATGTGTGTGTGTGTGTGTGTGTGGGTGGTGGGCTGTGGGTTCGGGAGGCGATACAGTTGGCGGCAGGATGTGACGAGAACAACTGGTGTGCGGTGACTGTGATTGACACTTGCCTCAGTTGACACCCACACCCACAGCGACACACACACGCTTTCGGCATTTGTCCATTGCCATCGCCATCGCCATTTGCATTTTGTGGGGAAATCGAAGGCGACCCTCAGTCAGGAACAGGCGAGAAATGTGATCAAAGCGATATTCAAATAGTAAAGAATTTGTCCATATCAAACAAAATAAAAAATTAAATTTCATTATATTAAATTTAGAAAGAAATCAGTTTTTGCTACAGCTTGTTGTTTTTCCGATCATAGCTGTATTCAAAACAAAACAACAATTTTCCCTACTAACGAAAAAAGTATCTGATAGTGGAGATACCTTCAAATATGATCGAATTGATGGCTTCAATAATACATATTTAATTTGGTCGGAGATGACGCTTCCTTCTTTGCATTATAAACTTCTTCTCTACAAAGATTATCTTTTGTCTCAAGACAAAGTCATGGAGAGCTGTTTGCAACGCACAAAAGTTAGTAAATCAAATGCTTTGAAAAGTGGCGTATAAATGGGGTCTATAAAGACTTCACAGGCCTCATCATCCGGCTCACTAGTGACACACACTGAAAGGTTAAGTGTGATGAAGATGATTCATTGATCTGTCTCTCTTCATTTTCCCATCATATTTAACTGAATTGAATGAGACCGCTTCTACATAAAATGCCATTTAAAAAAGGAGAGGTAAAGAATGAAAGCACCCACGCCCACGCCCACGCCGGGCACCAAACTGTAGTCGAAACCTTTGTCGCCTGCGCGCTGTTAAAATTTCCCTTGACTAACAGAGGCCCAGCTGCAAAAGGCTTTTGGGTAAATTTTTACACATTGTTCGGGTAGTCCCCTCTTTGTTTTTGTTTGTTTGTTGTGGTCCCGCACTCGCACTGGGATCTAATAGATCCACCGCCCCCAATCAGACATCGTTTGGTTATATGAGCCATAAAAAGTGTAAACCAAATCGGTGTATACAAAATGAAAAAGGACAAAGGTCTAGTCTTCTGTTTTTGCAGGTAGCTCTTTCTTCTATATATTTTTATTTTATTTTTTTGGATAAATAATGCTGTTGGAAATTAGCATATATTATGGAGGATGGGTGTATGGAGGATAGAGAGAGAGAGGGCGAGAGGTGTAATAGTGGATGGGGGGATGGTCGTATTGTATATAACATGAAACGCATCGAAGGAACTACAATTTGTTCTATCCTATAAATAATATAAATTATAAGTTCTTGACGAGGATCCATAACCGAGGATCATATTTCATATATATACTCGTATATCGAAACTGCCATAGGAAGAATCGATCGAAAAACAATTCCTCACGAGAAATGCTTGTAATGATTTTTATTAAATACCGTTTCGGAACACAATACGTATCATAGGAACGATGGATCTGTATCTATCTACTGTAAAGCAATCCGATAAATAGAATTTTTTGCCTGTTCTTGTGGTTGTTATTGTTGCTGCTGCTGCCTCTGCTGCTGATGAGGATGAGGATGCTGTTGGGATAGCTGCTGCGGCCAATTAGGCAATGCAGGCGCCAAAATTGAATTTGAATTTCTAATGGTGATTATTTACTATGCACACACGCTCACGTACGCGTACAGCGTACAGCGTACAGTTGGGCATAATAACTAAAGCTTTGTGCTAACTAATTGCCCCAAGGCGGAATCGTAGAATCGGGTTGGTTGGGGTTATGGGTATGGCATCGGATGGGGATCGGATAGTTTGGGCTGGGCTGGGCTGGGGTGAGCGCTGGGTTTTTCCACTAATTTGCATGCATCATTTGCAGTCTCTCTCTCATGCACACACACTCTTCCCCATTTTCCCCACACACACACGCACACCCAATAACTTTGTTCCACTCTTATGGACATACTTTTCAGAACGTTGTTGTTTTTTTTTTGTTTTTGGCTTTTTTGTTTTTGTTTCTTGTCCATTCCTGCTGTGCCTTCCTATCGTCTTAGCTAACTAATGTTGTTTTCTCCTACTTCCGTTTCCGTTTTCCTTTCCGCCATCTTTGTTTTTAGTTTGCTTATCAATTATTATTTTGTTGTTGTTGTTGCATTCTCTGTCTGTCGATGTCTGGCTAGTCTAATTTATAATTTGTCTAAGTTTTACCGCTTTCCACTAAATTATCTTCAAAAATTGTTTTTCAATTATCTACTGAATCGATCATATTCTGCGGCTTCATTTCAGATAAATTTGTGTGTTTGTTGTACGTTTTTTGACTAAAAAAACCTCTTTGCTTGCATTTTTAGTGTACATATTAATTTTAGTTAGTTATACCTTTTTTTTCAGTATATAACAAATACAATGTTTGTTTCACTTTACCTTTTGTTTTTGTTTTTGTTTTTGTTTTTATAGTTATAGTTACTTCGATTCTCTTATTTTTTTTGGATTTTTCTTAAACAATTTTTGTTGTTGTTGTTGCGATTGCTATTGTTTTTGTTGTTAAAGAAAAAACAAATGCGAATTCCATTCACCATCCTTTTGTTATGGTTTTTTCTGCTGGCTTTTTCAGACTGTGTGTGTGTGTACATATATGTTATATGGTAATGGTTGGTAACGCCTACCGATCCCGATATCCATCGATACCACGATCGGGACTTGGGGGAGGAGTGGTTGGAGGGGGAGGGGGAGGGGCACCTTACAAGATAGGCCGCGCCACATTCGGCTTGGCCGTCGTCGAGGCGATCTCTGAGAGCTTGATGTCGATGGGCACGCGGGTGTCGTAGAGCGTCGGTGCCTGCAGGATGATGCCGGCGGTGCCGACGACTACGGCTATTGTGAATATCCAGAGGAACAGACGATCCAGCACCATGGCCACGTACTTCCAGTCCTCCTTCACCTGTTGGATTTGGGTGGATAATCAACACATCAATCAATCAATCAATCAATAGGCGTTATACAAATGTACAATATATGTATGATGTATGTGTGTTTAAATGAAATGTTCGGTTTTGAAATGTAAAAATGGTGAAATTAAATAAAGTTGATGATTTAAATATGAAATATATATATTTATTTTATACATGGAATATCCATATATTTAGATAAAATATTTTCATATTTCCACTGACGGCTGAAGGCTCTAAGGGGAAATGTTACAGTTTCAGGGCTGGAGAATGGAGAACTATTCAATGGTGAATGTTAAGTGAATTGGTATTGGAATGTATTCTGTTTTATATAAAAAAATCACTTCACAAGTACATAGTTACATATGTACATTTTTTTTAAGATGTTTCTTGAAAATCTATTTCAACCAATGTTGAAAGTTCCAAAGTCCCATTGCTGGGGTAAAAGACATCAAAGATCTTTCTTTTCTTCTTCTGTTGAAAAAAAGGACTCTCTATCTCTAGATAGATTCGTATTGAAAGGTCTCAGGTACATAGCTCTCCATTTTAGTCAAGTCAATAATTATGTTCCAGAAATTCGGATTTTAATGAGCTTTGAAACAAAATGATATTGAAATCTTCTTTAGGAATACCATTATTAATCATTGACTAAGGCTAAGGCTAACACAGGAAACAATCTGCGTTGCCACAGGAAATATGTATGTCTCTCAGTCATTGAATGAATATTTGAACTAATTCCCTAGCTATGGAGCCACCTCCTTGAATCCACCCACAATGCCACACACTTAGGGTCGTGCCACAAATGACATGGACTCAATGTGAATGCCTCAACAAACGTTCCGCTGCTGCCGCCTTGGCATTTGGCGATGAGTTCTGTGTCCTCAACTGCTAGGGAATACGAGCTCCTCAGCGACTTGCCGACCAAAAGGTCCTTCCAGACTGTCCCAAGCTCAACATCACATTCCAATAATGATTGAATATGTGCGTAATTTTAATAAAATACTTTTATTGGCATTTTGTTCAATGCCACAAGAAAACATTCATTATGATGAGAGAGCGAGTGCTCGCACTCCTCCAACTACGACAAAAGCCGGGAAAGCATGCCTCAGCATGGACGCGGACGCGGACGCAGACGCAGACATGGACTCGGAATCGGACTCGGCCTGGTCGATGCCTGATGCTCAATAAGGCGCATGAAAAGTCATTAAAACTTTTGGCGCAGCCGGCAAAAGTCCTGCTATAGAGACAACCACATACATAAAGATTCTATAATAGTACAAAGCAACCACATACATATATACCACATATATATTGACTCTCGAAAAGACATTAGGACAGCCACACTTGGGCTCGGTCTGAGATACATCCAGGAACAAAGAGTCCGTGTAAGGTCAACAAAAGGGCAGGGCGGGGCCGGGCAGGGCAGCGCAGGATAAGCCATAGATAGAGGAAGACACTGACAGTCAGACATCATCAACAACTGTGTCCTGGCCTAGGTATCCCTTCTCCGAAAGCCCCTTGCATTTCGTGTATCGATTATTGACGTTCTCATAAATCCGGCCTTAGGCCGCTCTAATTTATTACGCCAGGCTTATTAACATCGGAGGAACCCACACCGACTTCCATCGGCCCCCCATCTCCAGCTCCATCTCCATCTCTATCTCTGTAATATATCTGTATTCGTCTCTGTCTCGTCTAAGCCAAATGTTAAGCGGCTTTCGGGCCACTTCCCTGTTCCTTTTTCCTCTTGCTGGCTTTTTGCTGGTGGCCTGCAATTGCCACTCCTGTAGGGGGTTTTTCGATTTATAGGATTTCCTTTTCATTAAGGCATAAACCAAGAACATTAATGAAGCGAAGGGTTTCGGGCTTTGTTATTTTCGAGTTTGTACTGGTCTTAGGCTTAATTGCAAATCTATGGGAGCACTGATAATTATTATTTGATTTATTGTTTCTTCATTTTTCAATTCTTTCATAGATGATTACGTTGGAATGACTTTTGTCAACACGAAGAACCTCATAATCATCCATTGTGTGAATATTACGTATACGACTTGTCCTTATCAGACCTTTTTGGAAACGAGAGTCCAAACCAAATAAATGTGGTTATGGTTCATTCATGGTCCCAACTCTACTTACAATGAATGACTCAAAGGACTATGATAACTCTCCCTTTATGGTTGATTTCATTAAAAAAGAAAAGTGATTTTTCTTTTAGCTTGCAAGAAACCTTTAAACATTTCCAGTTCTTATGAGAATGTTTTGCTTTAATATTTATCTATACCCGGTAATTATTATTGTAAATATTTGTTGTCTTACACGGCTATTTTCCGATTTTATGTGAATAAAGGGGTTTGCTCTGCGTTTTAATCCTAAAAGTATGCTCTTAAACGAGCATTGCCTTTGCATTAATAGTGTTTCAAAGTTTTTCGAATACTTAAAGAACGGATTGACAGTTGCGCTTCGATTTGTTTGGTTCGTTTTGGGTATAATATTGAACCCGTCGCAAATTTGGAAGATATTTTCTATTATCTTTGTTTTCCCTTTGCTCCCTAGCTCTTATAGGGGCTAAGATATAGGCGCTCATCAAGCCGATCGGACAAACGGAGGGGCAGTGGTTATATCGACTCGTCTTTTGCTTCTGGTTTAGAATAATATCCTTATATCTTATATTCTATAGTATCCTTACACGAAGAAACTTGAATATTTACTCAATTGGCTAAGAGCGAAGCCTATAATATGGCCTCGATAATGTCCGTTTCGAATCCCTCCCATTTTAAGGACGGATAACTTCTTTAATGTTTTATATCTTAATTTAAGCCATTAATATATGTATTTTGGTTAGTTAATCCATCATCTTGTGCACCTCCGGGCAGGGTGAGATATCCCTTCTCCCACCTTGAACACCATTTGCCATATATCGCACGTATTGTGTATAATGATGGTGGTATGCGGTGTGTGGTATGTGGCATTCGGCGTGCTTACCCTTGTGCTCTCCTCCTCCTTGCGCGTCTGATCCGCGATGTAGTTGACCCCGTCCATGGCCTTGTGCAGCTCCGGGCAGGTGTGCCAGCGTTGCCGGACGTTTCCGCGCCCCGAACAGCAGTGAGGGCCGCCCTCTCGCTGGCAGGCGGGCAGTATATCACAGGCCGCCGCCGGCGGCGGTGGTGGTGGTGGCGGTGGCGTACCAGCCGAGGCTGCTGCCGCCGCTGCCGAGGTACTTGGTCCTCCTCCAGCAGCTGCCGCAGCTGCAGCCGCCGCCGCCGCTGCTGCTGCTGATGTGGTGGGTCGATGGTGCTGGAGCAGCTCCGAGGATTGGCAGGCGGCACCGGCGCCCATGCCCTGGTGTATCTGGATGCCGCTGCAACAGGAATCGGCCAGCGTGGAGGCCGTGGCCACCGAGTTAACTGTCGTCGTAGACTTTATCACATTGGGGTTCCCATTGCCCCCCAGACCCATCCCCATGCCCATCCCCATCCCCATGCCCATGCCCATGCCCATGCACAGGTCGCTGGTGGTGGTCGAGGCATGGGCCTGATGGGCATGCTGCGGCAGCGGCGAGAAGTTTGCCGAACAGCTCGACTGCTGGCGGTACAAGTGATGGCCGCTGGCCTGCTGGTGGGTCAGCGTCGAGGTGGAGGACGACTTCCCCCCGCCGGCCCCATAGTGATGGTGTTGCCCGTTTCCGTTCTGGCCGTTCTGACCCGTCTGGCTGGAGGTGGAGGTCATCTGGCGGAACTTCGTTGGCGTCAGCGGGTGGTCCAGCAGCGAGCCCCCGGTCTGCTGGTACTGATTGTGGTATTGGGCATCGATCAGCGAGGATGTGGTCGAGGTTTGCTGATTCACCGTCGAGATGGTCGGCGGATACAGGGAGCTAAGGTGGCCGGTTATAGTGGACGCCCCACCACCACCACCACCGCCACCACCCATTCCCATTCCCATGCCACACTCGTCCATCAGATTAAGGGTTTGTACTCTGTGTTGCAGGTGTGGCGAGGTGCTGCGAGACGTCGTCTTGGGGCTGTGGTGCATGCTGCAGGCAGATGAATTTCAAATGATTACTACGTTGAATAATTAAAGGATAGATGTACACCATTTGGAACCACTTGTTGGTTACGAATACTATCTTTTCAGGGCTCAGTATTGATAAAACCATTTTACTTACCGCGACAAGGCCACGGGCGGTGGCAACGGTGGTATTTGATCCCTCAGTTCGAGTCCATTACAGGTGCGCACCATTAGACGGCGCGAGGATTTGCTGCAGACGGGGAGAGGTGGAGACGAGATCGAATTTTGGGAGACCAACATACAGCTGTCGATGGGTATACTCACATCATTTCACTGATCGGATATAGGGGCCGCCGCATGACCAGGAATCGCGGCAGCTGATTGATGAACACCGTCCTCACCCAAGGGGCCATTGTGTGGGTCTGGGGCGACCGAAAGTGGATGTTCAGGACCAGGACTGTCACACAGATGCTGTATATATGAAAGAAAGGGTGATGAGTGACAGTGTGAGAGTGGGAGGGGGGTGTGGGTGGGGACCATGTAGATAGAACTTAAGTGAGTTGCTCTCTTAGTCTGGGTAATTAACTTTCGACGCCCACGTCTAATTAGGAGCTGGCCGAGGCGTTGCCTACGCACAAAGAATGAAGTGGAGAAGGAGGATGTTGCTGTTATAGGAACAGGAGGGGTGTGGCGTCTGCCTGCCTTAATTACATCATTTGAGGCAAAGTCCTGTTGCGCCACTGGCGATTCCATTGTTGGCAGACCTCCGACTCGGCCTCAGTCTCAGCCTCAGCCTCTGTCTCAGCCTCAGCCCCAGCCCCAGCGTTAGCCCGGAGGAGACTGGTACTCCAACTCGAGTACACTCGACTTTTGTTTACCATCAATTAGGCGGTCATCATTTGGTGGTGGGGCAGGCGCAGTAATGGGGGCGTGGCAAATGACTGTAAATTGCGGCACCCATTTATGGGGAGGCAAAGAGGGCGTGGCACTAAGCCAAACACAATCAGCAGGAGAGACAGTGCCAGAGCTAGAGTCAGAGCCTGTGCCAGAGCCTTTGCCAACAAGCGAACGAAGTTTTATTTTTAGGTTCCGTTTCCGCAGAGCATTCGCACTCGCACTCGCATTCACATTCACATTCATTCGTTATCAGTAGGAAATCGTAAGAAAAACTCACCTGAACGTATCCAGTATCATGGTGAAGAGCACAAACTTTCCCAGCAGCGGCACCACCAGCGATGTGGGCGGAATGATTTCCGCCAGCAGCAGGAAGAACACGGTGAGCGACAGCAGAATGGATATGCTTAATGAGACCTGCAACCAGAGGGAACGAGAGTGAAGTGAATGGAAGTCAAACATGGCTCAAGTTATTCGCAGCAAGCGGATCCCAGAGCTAAATATGGAGACAGGACGTCGAGTGGGGGAGTACGACTCCGACTGAGGTGCCACTGGGACTAAATTGAGTTGCATGTCGAGTGAGAGGAAAACGTGAAGCGGCAAAGTTCCCAGCCATAAAGAAGCGACAATTTACAAAAAAAAAAAAAAAGGAAAAGCAGGGGAAACTCTCTCCGCCCCGATAAGGCTTCTCATTTATAATGCATAAACATTTCCCAGATTCTCCCTAAGCTGATTTAATTTAAGCCCTTGTTATGCCGCACACTCGGAAAGTACATATGGAAGCGGCGGAAGGATACCTGGCACTTCTCTGAGAGCCTATTTCAAGCAGAGCAAAGTCGTTAACACTCGGATTGGAGCTGTCTTTATCCTGTAGTCGCTTTTTGAAAGTTAAAGGCACATCTTCGAATGGTAAGTACAACATTGGACAGCTTTATCGAGGAGGGTCATGGCCAGTGGAAAATTACCAAACAAGCAGCACAGCACCCTAATTCTCGTATACGAAGGGGCCTTGCCGCTGCTGCGGTCAAGGTTCAAGAGTGTAATGTTGCATAGCATTCCCCACCATTAGCAGCTTTTTGTTTGTTAATTGACGGGTGGATAGAGTTTTTGAATCCTTATCATTGCTGCTCCCTGACTCGATCCTTGCTGCCAGCTTGGGGACCGCACCACCAGCCCCACTGACCCCACTGACCATGCCCAAATATACCAAATCAGAGCCAGCAATCATTATACTCGTACAAAGGCAAATCAGAATGAAAATGAAAATCTCAATTGATTTAAAATGCCCGAGCGGGCATCAAATGCAAATAATAAATGAACGCAATGGGCGTATAAAAAAGCGGTTTCTCGGGCAATTTCTTGCTGGCCAAAAACTGCCCACCAAATCATATGCATGAATGGAATGACCCAAGAAAAACCGCGGCACACTTTTCAGGGGTCTCTCAATAGGGCGCAAAGTGATTTGTGTGATTCGAGAAGAGAGGGGCAGAGAGGCCGAACGCCAGGGGCCCTGCCAAGTCGTATTAACTGCTAAGCAGTGGCAAGGGGCAAGTGGCAAGTGGCAAGTGCGGGCCTTGATTTTTGCCAGCATCAAATGTCGAGTGTTGCTTTAGTGTCAAGAAAACTTGGTAGCACGCATAATTTAGTCAGCTATGATTCATTCCAACCAAACGCAACGAGCTGTAGCCTAAGTTTTATTGAAATATTTTTCAAAATTTTATTGAAATACCGATGGGGCTGTAAGGGTGCCTAATACGTCTGCCTCCCACTTGCTGGTGTTCCCGTCTTATCCGAGCTTAAGTTGCTTGTAATGGAGTGTGCTTTGGCACTGTGTGAGTGTACACAAGTGACGCGTGTGTGTGTGTGTGTGTGTGTGTGTGTGTGTGTGCAAAAAGTAATTAAATGTCGAAAATGAGACGCGCGATTTGAGTCGCTTGTGTGCATGCCGGAAGAGTGGGAGAGTGGGCTGTTTGCCAGTCTGTCTCTGTTTGCTGCGGCATAAATTTTCGATGCTTAATGATTTTATGATAATTAGCCTTAGGTTCGGGGGCCAGCGCTTGCAAAGCGATTAGTGACGTCGCCTAATTAAGGTTACAAGTTGCAAAGAAGGTCCTGTGCCTGTGCCATCTTGCCGGCTCCTCCTCCACTCCACTCCACCCCACTCCTGTCTTCTCTTGTTTTCTCTGAGTGTAACACGAGTACATGCATGTGAGCACATGATATGTGAGTGTGATTTCTGGGGATTACACTAACTGCTAACAAGGGTAATGCTTCTCAAAATGATTCTCAAAGTCTAAAATGGAAATTAATTCCAATCTTTGTAAAGAGAGTAATAAATGATTCAAGTATTTACTGGAAATTATGAAAAACTACTTGCAAGTGGATCTTACAAATGAATGATCTTTAATTAATAAAAGTAATTGTTTGATTGAAGATTATTTCTGGGTGGGAAGAAGGGCATATTTCTAGTGTTCTTTGGAAACATTTGTAAGTATTTTGGGATAATTTTTACTCCTCTAACACTTCACACAAACCCAAACGATTGGTTTTAAGGAAAGTACTAAAAAAAGTACTATATATGCGCATACTCCGCGTATAATCTGTAAGTCCTGGTCCAAAAACTACTGTTTGTATGTTTTAGAGCTCTAAATAGATGATAGTTTTTTGTGTTACTTTATATTGTTTCACGAGCTAACCGATCTCTTATCGTCGATCCCTGAATGAATCGCGTATCATTGCACTAAAGTATCGCTTAAGACTTATCACACTCGAGTATCGCATAAGACTTATCACACTAGAGTATCGCTTAAGACTTATCACACTAGAGTATCGCATAAGACTTTTTGGTTTGGGGTTATTATCGGGTATCTGTCAGGACTGATATCGGGCTATCGGTATGGCTTCCAGTTGAAGCCAACTCGTTTCACGCTCCCATCGCTGGCACATTGATTCGAGGGGCATTATTTATGCAAATGCTCGGTGTAATTAAGGTGGAAAATGCATTTGGGGTACAATTTCTGTTTCAGTTTCCGTTTCGATTTTCGCTTCGGTGCTGTACGGTTCGGTTCGGTTCACAAGGGGGTTTTTGGGCCATCATCATCGGTAAAAGTTCTGAGTGGACAGTTTCAATCTTTACTTTGTCCGTCCCGTCTGCCCACCCGCACATAAAACGTAATTGTTTTAACAATAAAAATACGATACAAATACAAAACAGGCAGGTTCGGCCAGGCACTGAGGAGGGTCGGGTCTCGGTCTCGGTCTCCGTCCAGAACGGCTACTTAGTATTGGATGATAGAGAGAGAGAGAGAGAGGCAGGGGCAAGGGCAGAGGGAGAGGGAGAGGCCCCTGCCACATCCCGCAATCGGCAATTGCATGAATGAAGTGCGTTGTGGCGCATATGCATGTAAATTGGCAATTCCAATTCCAATTCCGATGCCATCGCATCGCAATGCAGAAAGCTCCAAACTGAAACTCGGACTTTTGCCGGACGCCGGATACTGGACAGCGGATAGCAGCCCCTACGTGCCCAGACTGTGCAGAGTTATTGTAGCTGGTGCCACTGGTCAGTGTCAGTGTCAGTGTCAGTGGAAGGAATTCGGCTAGTTTTCGGGCACTTCTGTACCAGAGTTCTGTACTGTACGGTTCTGTCTGCCACTGCCCGCTTTTAGGCGCAAATATTTTCGCATATGTGTAAGCGCCACCCACCGGTGCTGGGCCTTACCCTTTATGGCCACAGAGAAAAGGCAGCACCGCCATGAAATGTGTCCACACGGCAAAAATTGTAAAAATACCAATAAAAAACCCAAAACAAAAAGGGAAAAGTTTGCAGCAAAAAAATAATAATAACAGAAGAATTGGCTTTATACCCGGTATCCGGTAGAGTACATACAAGAGTATATTCATTTCGTGTAAATGTATGTAACATACAGTATATATGGTATATACATATTCTCGATCGGAACCAATAGCGATCGGAATAGGATACAGGATTCATAATCAGAAGCTTCGCTTGCCTCTGGGAGAACTGAATAGCGGGTATCTTAATGTCGAGGTACGCGGATCTCGATCACTGGAAACGGAAGATGGAATATTACTTTGTCTGTAGTTTCTAAACTAGCGTTCCTAACGATCTGAAAGAGATCTCGATTGGATATTCTCGTTCCTATTTGTATTTGTTCCTATTTATAGTTAACTTTTATTCATCAAAGTACCCTTATGCTACAGTAAGTGTATCAAGTCTCTCTATATTATGCAGCGAAAAAGCTATAATTGCAACAGGGCTACGAATTGATCAAACAGTTTGTCCTAATGCCCAGACCCCCAGTAGCCCCCAGCAGTCAGGCGAGTGCACGTCCTTAACTCGATAATGCAAAGCCATTTACATAATGTCTACTGGGGATATCCCATCAAATGCTCACCGCTGTCAATATTTATAACATAAATTATGCTCCATGAGCGATGCCGATGTCGATGTCGATGTCGATGTCGTCCAGAATCAGCATCAGCATCATTGTAGCTCCGTACGTGTCTGTCTGTAGGGCTGGCAGAGCACAGTGCACTGTGCACAGTGTACAGTGGCTGCTAGTGGTCGTAATCCACAAACCGCTTGCGCACACAAATTATTTTTGCATTTTATTTATTTTGAAAATTGGCCGTAATTTATTCATAAGTCTCGCCCGGGCAGCATGTAAATGTTTATATTTATGCATTATGCCATTGCATTTGCATGCCATTTTTCCACGCATTTTCCCGAGCGTTTTTTCTTTGGGCGCTCGCGCGCGCTCTCTTAAAAGAATCCCTTCGTCGAAGAACAGTCCGGGTGCGGTTCGCCGGAATATGTGTGGATATGCATTAAATTGCACACATTGTGTAATTTTATTTACTCAAACTTAAATGAAGGCAAACCAAACCAAACCAACAAAAAGAAACATCAACACAACAAAATTGATAATCAAAATGAATTAAATGTTGAAATGCATTTTCATTTTCATTTTCATTTTCGTTTTCATTTCCATTCAAGTGTGAAATTATTTTTTCTTTTTAATTAAAAGCACATTTTGAACTGATTGGGTAGAAGGAGGGCGAAATGCAGAGCGGACAATAAATTATGGCAATTGGTTTAACGACATTTAACGAAAAAAATAAAACAGTTTGTGAGCAGCGGACTGGCCACGGGAACTAGGGGACTGTGTGGTCTAGAGATGGCGCAGATGTGCAAGGGCAAATAAAATTACAAATAGAGTGGAAACTGTCAAAGAGATGTGTTTCACCGAGGACAGAGGGCATCGTATCCAAGGCCTTGTAGTTGGTTCTCTACTGAACTGGTTCCCTAAATGGGAATCTCATATGATTAACCATAATAAAACATATACCCCTTTCAGAGGGTGAAACGAACCGTTTTATCCTGGCTATCAGATAAAGTCCTTGGTGATTTAAACTCTTCTTTAAGCGGTTCAAATAATGTAGTACCCATGTCACAGCATGATCTTAGTCACGTGATCAGCGTGATCTAATCATGTTCTCAAATCAACCATCTGGTGTTTCGAACTCGACCATCAAACTTCTATGGTACAGGAGGATCCTAACCTATTTTATTGCTTCATCAACGGTATTCTCAATTTCATTTCATAATACATGTGTCGGAAAACAATTACTGATCCTTTTTGCCCAGTAATGCCCAGGAAAGCACATTAAAACCTCACCTAAGCTGCAGGTTGAAAATCGCATAAGGACGGAAAGCATGTGGCAAGTACGTCACAGTACGTGCTCTCGTAGATTGTGGCCAGAAAACTGAGGCTATATTGGGGAAGGAGGAGGCTATCTCCATGGCACTCTCTTTCTTGTAATCCTCCACGTCGAGGCACGGCCTCCACCAGTGAAAGGTGAAAGGTGAGGAGTCTCTTGATTTTCCAGAGTGCCACCATATTTGTGCAAAACAGAGTCGCGTTTAGGGACCGTCCAGGTACTCGACCCCGGCAGTTCATTTTGGTATTCACTAATATGTTGACTCCTCACATTTTCCTCACATTGTTGTATGCTTGAAGAACTTATGGAACTGAGCACTCACCTTCTCGCCACTGTCTGATGGCAGATAGAACACCAATATGGTTAGAAAGCTGATGCCCATGCAGGGGATGATCAGGTTGACCGTGTAGAAAAGCGTCTTCCTGCGCATCGTGATGTTAAATGTGATGTCCAGATATGGCTCATCGCAGCACGTATAGAACTTCTCATTGCTGCAACGATATGCAAAGATATACAGAGATAAACAGAGGGGAAGCTGTTGAGAATGGAAAATACATATTTGAGTTAAGCAGCCCGTAAATATATAAATATTAAGGATTATTCGGGCTGCTATTTTTTGTTGCTTGTTTATTGCTGGGGCAGCTTCCGCACGCGGGGCATCCGCAGTGCCCGGCACTCAGACAGGCCCCAAACACATTTATTTATTTACAGATATAAACACATACTCGTAGATATATGGCACTCCAGTCGCATAAATCATCAGCCGCATGATAAATATTGGAAAATACTGACAAAATATTGGCCTAACTGCTGAGTGAGTGTCAAACTGTGAATGGCTAGCAATGCATGTACAACTGTAGACAATATTCATTGCTTGGGAAGCGAGAATTCCGTTCGAGAATTCCCACATGGCTATGGCTATTAGTTTTTATTTCAAAGATCCAGTAGTCTCCCTTAGTCCTTAGAATTTGATCAGATATATATACATATATCAACGATTGTAATGTGGATCATAAACATATCCTGCAGAACTGTAAGCCATTTGCGTTAATCAGTTTGAAAATCATTCATACGGGTTGGCCACTTTCCTCACTCATGGCCCCCCGCCCCCCGTTGCCAGGCAAAATGCATAATTTAAAAGTTAATAATCTCTGACTGCTGCTGTGAAGAAAAGTGGAAAGAAACTCCAGGAGGCAAAGGCAAAACAAAACAAAATAGAGGGAACATTTTTGTAAATTGAGTCAAGCAAACTTTTATTTTCTTACAGTTGTCGTTCGTTCCTCTGCTGGTCGCACTCCAGAAACTCTTGAAACAGGATCTGACTAGAGGAAGGACACCGAGTAGAAGGAAAAAAAAGAAAAAATGTAACTGGCGGGCACGAGAAAGGGGTAGAGAGGAGGGCCTGGCACGGGTTGTATATGGTGAAGCCATCAATAATTCCGAGCGGCTTGCGGCTTCATTTTGAATACGAAAATATTGTAAATAAATAATAAACAACCAAGGAAATGGCAAAGAAAGCCCGCTTTCCCACAAAGGCAGGAAAGAGGATTAGAGAGGGGGACAAGGGTGGCAAGGACAACGACAAGGATGTGGCCGGCAGGCAACTAACTGTTTGTGGCAGTTGACTTTGCCTCCAAATAGAAATGAAGTATGTGGCAATAGGCACACAAAATGGAGGCCAAAGCGCCGAAGGGGGAGTGGGTGGGTTTCTGTGGGCATATATTGTAGGTGGGGATGTGGATGTGGGAGGGAAGCGTGAGGCAAGGAGTCCGGGACTGAAGGCCAACATCTTGTGGGTTAGTTTTGATGGCTGCAGCAATAAAATATAATTTGCCAAGGCAATTCCAAATGCCAGTCACTCAAAACCGAATTGGGGAAGAAACAGAAGGTAGAGAAGATACAGAGAGCGCGAGAAATCGCTGGGGGGAAGAGGAATAGGAGCCTAAAGGGAGAAACCCAGTTGGAGGGGTCGAGTAATCTATTACGACACTATTACGGACAGTTCAAGCATATAGAAAAAGTGATCTACTACATAAATTATCAACGAGTATTCACATAAACAACAAATAGATCTACAAGACTTTTAACGGGAAGCAGCTGTATTCATAAATGATGTTGAGGCAGGTCGAATTGCAAAGAAAGGTACACTTTCCAAAACTACGGTACTCGAAGCGCTTTCAAGAACATTATTAAAGTACTAATATATTTGTAAAAAAAAGAAAACGTGATTCGTGTGAACTATACTACTACTATCATACTTAATCCATACATCATATTTATGTATGCAGTGATTTATGTAACTTATCCAATTACAATATCCAGCACTTTTCGATTTTCATTCTAATTAGTAATTAGTCATGACGAATATTCTGGCTATTCTAGTTGCCCCGTTGCACGGGAACGAATTATATCACGCTCACTCCGACAGATGGCGTCACTGGACGAGGAATATCCAGTTTATGTCATCGTGCCGAGACACTACTCATACCCGGCACTCAGTCGATACTCTTTATAACTTTTTACATGACAACCAATTACATGAATTCGGAAACGCTTCGTTTTGGCTATTACATCTAAATAAATTTAGTGTACCCTTATACTTTTTGACTACTGGGTATACAAAAGCTATAATTACACAAAAGATAGGAGGGAATTGAGAATACTAGTCCCCGAACTCTTTTGTCACAGAATATTTATGTGCTGCCCCAACAGAATGACCACAAACAAAAGCACATGAGAATTTTAACTTGTGTACATATATGTGTATGTGTTTATGCCTCTACATAGCTTCATCAGCTCCTCCCCTCTTGAGCCGATCCCCAGCAACGAGGAAAATGTAATATGGATACAGATTAAGTCTGCTAAAGTGAGCTTTAGTCAACATGCCAGGAGTGTCCACTAGGTGGACTCTACCCTGTCGTTCCTTTTCTGTGGAACTTCTTTTGGCTTATTCTCCTTAAAGATGAGCCCCAGCCTGGCATCTACAGACATTCTACTCTCTGGCAGGCAGACAGACGTTTGTCCGAAAACTTGAAAGACCCTTAAGTCAGCATCAAATATGTGTGGGCGTGGACGTAGAGGGGCGGTTCAGTGGGGGGCTGATGTACGTGTAAAGGTCGGTCTATGTAATAAGCTTGGTTGGCTTGGTTAGTTGGTTAGCAACAAAACGCTCCGAAGGAGCAAAAACATACAATAAATCATAAAATAGGCAGAAAAAAGCACGCACACATTGGAATGGAAATGACTAAATGGACACGCGTAGTCCCTCTCACAAACACACACACATACACATATAAATCCATCGCTGCGTGTGTCTGGGCACGGCGCCGAGAGATGGCGCCACGAAGGGAAAAAAGAAAAAATAGAGAAATATAGAAAAGACGGCAACAAAGTACCAGTCAGGACTAACAAAACTTCAGTTTGATTTGACTTGAAGGCACAGGCCAGGCCAGGACAGGCCGGGACAGGCCAGGCCAGGCCCGGCCATTCCCCCAGACATATCTTCCCCAACCTCTGCCTCTGGCCCTACCCTGAACCGCGCTCTACTTCCTATTACTCCTAGACCAACAACATTGGCAACAATTCATCAATGCGTTGAGCCACACGCGGCGTGTGCGTAATAAACGAGGAAAACCCCAAAGAGGGAAAGTAAAACGAAAATGCTCAAAGCCAAATAAGTTGAAAGGGAAAGTGCCCCTCCCAGGGCTTGTGGCGTGTGTGTTTTAGAAATGATTTTGCCAAGAAGAGAACTGATTTTAAATCAAATTCTATTTAGATTTCCACTCTCCCACTCGCCCCACCAAAGGTTTTTTGGGTCAGCGACACACAAAAAATTAAGTGAAATTCCAGCGAAATTGAATGTGGAAAGTGGCACGTAACTGGGTGGTGTGCACATGGCAGGGCAGGGCAGGGCCAATGAACACACTAAACTGACCAAAAATGGTCAAAAAGCTGATTGACAACGGGGGAAACCCCAGAGAGAAAAAGCGAGTTTTGGGGCCACGAGAAACTGAGGAACTGAAGCCTGATGATTGCTGTTTGCTGTTTGCTGCTGGAGTCAAAGAACAAACGCATAAATACGGAATGATTGGCAACATAAAAAAACATAAAACGAAGACATAAAGAAAGGCGGAAAGAAGAACCCCGCAGAAGCCCAGTCCCCCATGGGGAGCCTCATAACCATTACCACCTACTCAGTGGGGGCTGAAGAGGTGACAGTGGGAGTGCTAGTGGCAGCATGGAGGCAATGGCTAAAGGTCTCAACGCTTGATTGATTTCAACAACTTTTCCCTGATAGGTTCCTGAAATCCGTGCAAAGAAGAAATAGAAATTGGCCCCAGAAAGAAATCAAAGTAAGTAATAGAATTTTAATAACTAACATAAACACGCTTCGTTGCATGACTTGAAAAAAATGTGGAAGACCCGAGAAAACAGAAAAGAGAGAAGAGAAGAGAAGGAAATTAGTCTCCAAGGACTGGGACATTGTGTGGCAATTGAGGTGTGACCGCAAAAAAATAAAAATGGAAAGCTGCGGACTGAGAATCTCTGGAAAGTTTGCTAATTATGATTTTAATCGATCTGTTGGGGGCGGTTAATAAAAATATGGGATGGGGCCGGGTATGGGAATGGAAACCTCAAACTCGACCAAAATTGTGCCTGGTAATCAAGCAATCAAACTGTAGTAAAAGTAAGGCACAACGGAAGTTTAAATGGAGCCTGTAGAGGACTTAAGAGATGGGATGGAGAGACCATTTGGTTGTGTGTTCTGTGGTGCGATTTTGTATGTGCCTGGCGTGTTGATTCGATGCTGTGCGCCGCATTGGGGCAATTAGACGTAATACAGCCCCCAAGGGATGGCTTGGAATATGACAATAAAAGGGAAAACCCAATAAGCAGATAAAGAAGCTGATGATACACCGAGAGAGGGAGAGAGGTAGAGAGAGACAGTGAGGAAGGGAGGAGGAGGAAAATATAAAAAGGGATTGAGGAATAAATACGAATGAGTGAGTTTTTAAGTTTAAAAATGTGAGAGAAGAGAAGAGTGAATTTGATACCAAAAAGAAGAGTACCTAAAGAGAAATGAGTAAAAAGTAGAGCTCTGAGGGGAGCAGCATTCCACAGGGAAAAGGTATAAACAAGTAAGTTCAGTCAAGTGGAGTCTAACGAGTAACGAGTAACGAATAGCGAGTATAGAATTGAATACTGTACAATCTTGAGCTTAGTCTTGAGTAATTAAGTTCTAAAGAAAACCGGAAAATTGGTAGATTCAAAAAGAATGTGGTAGTTGTGAAAACTGTTTAAAGAGAGTGAATCAAGTATTCCTGGAGCAAAATAGAGTGGCGAGTGGCAGAATTTATTGTGGGGAGAATGGAAGATATCAACTCTGCACTGAATTGCATTAAAAGCTACAAACTATAAAAGAAAGCCCTGCCAAGATTGTGTTATTAACATAAAGTTTGAGATATCCTGCCTAGAGTCCGAAAAGTTGAAAAGGCAGACCCAGACCCAGACCCAGACCCAACTTTAATTTGATGGCCTCTGATTAGAGACTTTCGATTTCTTTGTTGTCTTCATTGGCACCTTTACAGTCACAGGTCTCTCTCTCTCTCTCTGTTTCTCTCTCTCTGTATGGTTGGTTGTCAATCAATGCCTGATTGTCTACCTGGCCCTTACCCTCATGCACGTGCTGCGGCCTGCCACGCCTCTCATTCCATGCCAGGTTCCAGCCCCCAGACTATGTTCACCTCGCCATTCAGTTAATTTAACTGTCGATGCGCATTAAAACGGAATCTTGTTGGAGGCTGTACACAAGTTGTAGGAGTTGGAAGGAGGTGGAAAGGTCTACTCGGGGGTAGAGGGTGTGGCGGGAGTGTAGGGAGTGAGCGGAAGGATGAAGTGGTTGGAGGCTTCATGGGAAAATTGCTCTACGTGCTATGAATTGTGTTGCAGCATTTTAGGAGCAGCAAAAGCCTGCAGACAATAAAAGCTGTCAAGGGAGTAAGTCAAGGAGGGGCACTGGCTGGAGGATGGGGAAGAGTCGTCGTTCTGTGGTAGGGGGGGACGTCTGCCTGGAATAAAGGGGCAACTAGGTGGTTTAGTGGCGCCAACGCCAGAGGCCGCTTTTGTGAGAGTGTCACGCACTTGTGGCATAATTTACTGCGAATACGACGCCAAATAAACCTTCGCACACATGCAATCAAACGTATACATATGTACGTGTGTATGTGTCTATGTGTGCGTGTGCCTCCCACTTCCCACCAACACTTACACCCAAGTAACTGGCGCTGTCAACTTTTTAATTCCCGTCAATGACTTGAGCCTCGTTTCCAGTACTCATCGGTCTTAACATTTTTTCTCCCAGTGTATTTCTGCTCCGTCATCTCCACTTGTCACGTGCTGCTCAAGGGGGTGTTGCAGGGCGTTAAGCAGAGGGAAGGGCACTGACATTGTGCGTTGGGTTGGGTCGCATGCTTAAGGTTGTCAGTCAAAGGACAACTGAATTAGATGGGAGTGGCTTTGATATAGGCCTGATGTAATTGTTAGGAATACCTTATGCGATGTTGTTGAGTTTGCTTGAATTTTAAGTTGTAATTGGCTGGGAATATATAGTGCTAGCCAGAAATACTAGGCGAACTATGTAACTCTTAGCTCTATTGAATGTTTAAATCGTAAACGCACCTCAAATCAGAAATGGAAAGAAAAAGAATCTGAAAAAGATGTGTATGTGAACTGTGTAACCGCCAGATGGAATGGTCTTAAGATATGGCTTCGTATGCCACTAGAAACTGTGAAAAGAAAGATACTTGGATTTATGTACATATCTGTATGTGGGACAAAAAGTGAGCAATAGAAACTAAATTGAGGGGGAAGTTGGATGAAAGTATAACTGATTTATAGACCGTTTCTTGGCTAACACGCAACTTCAGTTCAGAATAGTTCAAGGATACTGTTGTCCTTCACTCGGACTTTTCCGCATTTCCTCTTATTTTCTAGTCTCTCCCGCTGTCTCTCCTCTCACACTCAGGTGAGGAGCTTGCGGCCTTTGTTGTTGTCGCTGGCCCTCGCATACGCAGTGGGGAGTGGGGGTAGTCGAGCTGAGGCACACATAAATAACACTTTCATGACTTTCACGGGCAATCTTCGCTCGCCCAAGCACACACATACACGTACATATGTACATGCGTACAGCCATGGCTCGTAATACACATATATAAAAATAAAATGGCTTTGGAGACGCAAGTCGCGACTTGTTTGTGGCTGCCACGCGTGCCAATGGCGCGACAACAAAAACAGCAACGAACAACACACTACAGCCATATACATCAGAATCCGCTACCTTGACTTGGTCAACGATTTTCTGCTTCCTTTGAGAAATGTTTGTAATAAAAAAACGCAGAGAAAAATCAACAATTGAAAAAACAAAATCAAAAAGTGTTCGAGGAGGCAGTGGAACACAATAAAAGGCAGTCAAGGGAGTCACATTTTGGCTGTACGGAAAGGAGAAAATTCAGCAAATATTAAAGAGAATTCAAGAGTTATTTAATTGATAGTTTACATTAACAGACAGATAAGAGGCCTTTTATCACAAATTCCGATCCTTGCCATGTTCAAAATTCGAAAGGTTTGAAGTCGCAGCACACGTTCCTCGACACTATAATACCCAGACGCCAATGATCTCTTCTCCACACGGAAAATATGTGGGAAATCTCTGAAGAGCATCCGAAAGGGTATGCCAAAGGACACCAGCACCACCCCGTGCACTTATCCCCCATTGTCATCAACTAATTAATTAGTCTGCTCTGTCTATCCTCTATCATCTTCGCTCTCTTCTGAGACCAGCCTCGAATATCTTAAGAATCCGGCAAAAGTTTCTCCGGCTGAAACAAAAATTTCTTGTTGCCTTTTGTTTGGGACTAAACACATTAAATACGAGACCCTTTGGCCCCCTCCTGGATGTGTGCACACAAGCGTATCTCCTGCCCTTTCTCCCTGTCACACGCCCCTTTAGCCTACGAAATGGTGGGCTCGGCAATTAAAGAACAGTCTCTGCAGCTCCCATATCCCAAGAAGCTTTTACTTTCACTTTCACTTTCACTTGGAGAGCGAAAGTCAAACGAAGAAACACACACAGGCACACACCTATTTTCACTCAAAAGAATCTACCAACACATGCCCACATAAATATACATATACACATATGGTATACACGGATAGGGCACCCACCCATGCATAGACACATATGTATGGATGACCAGGCAGGAGAAAAGAAGTAAAACCAGAGGCAGCATCAGTAACTTCCGCTTCCGCTACCATGTATATTTAAACGTATATAGGTACATATATAATTTATTTTTGGCAGCTCCCTTAGCCAAAGTTTTTTAATTTAAAAACTTCAACACGTAAAAAAATATAAGCAATGAATGAGAGTTAGAGAGAGAGAGAGAGAGAGAGGGAGAGAGATAGTGATGTGAGGTAAGTGTAAATAAAAGCCACTCCCTCCTCATTCCGCACCATACACATACATACATAGGTATGTATGTATGTAGAGTCGCCCACGCCCACTACCGACACCCGACGGCACCCGATGCCCGACGACCGAGATGATCATTACCCGCAGTCCTATGTACATGTCCTCTTGCCGCAACAACAGAAATCTCTCGGAGAAACTTGCATCCTTGACCTGTGTGCGCCCTGACATCCTGAAAGATTTGTGTTTGTGTTTTGTGACAGCGTCCAAGGCGTCCACGAAACTTGCCAAAGGAGTTTCTGCCAAAATTATTTTCTGTTGCCTCTGGCTCGGGCATGGATGCATCCCTGGCGGCCTTCAGTGGCTGAGTGGGTGCTCCACGGGGTCCTGCCATGGCTGGTAGGCAAGGAGGAAGGGGTGTTAAACTTACCGCACTGCAGGAACTTCAAGTATATCCCACTCGACGGATGTATAGAATTCGGATAGATCCACGCCCACTTCAACAACATTGGTGCCATTCAGTTCATCGATGTGACGCAGATCCACCTGTAAGTGAGAGAGAGAGAGAGTGAGGGAGAGAGCAATCAATGCACTTGCAGAAAAATATGTAATGTTGAATACATCGAGATACAACATGTTAGCATCTGTATATGACTATGCACTATGTACTGACATCCAAGATATTATTTCCAATCCAGCTTCGATGGTGGGAATTCTTAAGTATATTCGAGAAGTAATCACTGAATCGATGTATCGATAAAACGAATTATATTGAGAACAATTTAAATAACGAATAACGTATAGTGTTTTATACATGTCTTCGAAGTTTGAACAGCCAAGCCTTACAGCTGTTTCTAAAGAGAAGTCTTTTCCACCATCCTAATCCAAGTTTCTTGGATAGTATATGTGATTATTCTTCGATTCAAATAGGAAACGATAAACTTGCATGGCAACACTGTATTAGCCGAGTGATATTTCAGATCCCCTTCGACTTGGCTCTTGAACCATGTGAGTGTACATATATTGGGGCCCCTCATTGATTTCCCTCAGTGCCGATTGCCAGTGATTAGACAATTACTGCGTTACGCCGACAGGGAGCATAATTGGACTGCAGTACCTGGCAACCCGATTGGGTCTCTCTTGCTCTCTTGCTCTGTTGCTCTGGCGTCCTCGGTCGTTCTCAGGCAGACCTGGACCCGTGCTAAGGGCCGGCCATGGGTTGCCGTTCCGATTTGACTGTCAACGTCAGATGCACAATACCCGAACGGAACTCAGAACGAATTTACATCCCAACGAAAATTTGGAAAAAAGAATGAGAGAAAGATGGAATGGAACACGAAGAAGGCTCTGGGACGGAGACTGGGAGGCAGTCAAGGTAGGTGCAGGCAGCAGCATCGATACCGAAATGGACAAACATACCAAGGCCGCACTTCAATTTCAGCTCAGCTCAGTTCAGTTTCAGTTTTGCTTAGTTCGGCACGAATGCAGCTGACAGGACATGGACAGGCGACAAGACACTACTGCAATTGGCATGCCACAAAAGGATAGGAGCCAGCAGCCTGCAGCCAGGAGCCAGGAGCCAGCACCCGGCAGCCAGCAGCAAGAGACGGCAAGGCCCGGCTGAGAGGCTGTAGGACCTGGTGCTGCAGCATCTGGCGCTGACTGCCATTCTTTTGCTACTGGGGCTGAAAGCAACCTGCCAGAGGAATGTCCAGCCAGCTGGGCACATTCGTTGATCTAATATCTGCTGCAAGGTGTGGAAGTGGCAGGAACACTGCAGAGTACGAATTTTTCGATTATCCTCCGAGTGTGTATGGATGGTTTAACCCAATTTACTAGATGGTTAAAAGGGATTGGGATAATGAAAATGTTACCTCTTCATGGGAACCGACGGCACTTATCGTGAGATACCAGCTAATTACTAAGATACGAGTATACGAGGTGTTCCTGGAAAATGTTCAGTGCCTTTAAATGGAAGGAAAAACTCCATGATGCACTTCGGGGAGGAGTTCAAAGCACTCAGGGTCTATGAAACTAACTTTAAACTAAATAATATAGTCGGTTTGTTTCCCATTCATTGAGTTCACCTTTTGATTTGTTCATGTGCATTAAATTCACTTTGAATATAAACCCACAGGTGCGTTCATAGCATCAGCAATTTTAATTCTTTCCTTTCTGCCAGTGAATTTCGTAGAGTATTTTGTCTGCCAATTTACGCCTCAGCGATTTTCGATGGCCAAGGTGTAGGTGGCTTGAGTGGGTGGATTGGGTTGAGCGGGTTGAGTGGGTTGGGGCTGAGAGAAAGTATGAAAAGCAGACACCTGGCGTGGGGTGAGCTGCAGAATGTGGCAGGGCAACGTGGTGGCATTGTTGGAAAAGCGTGAAATTTGAAAAGTGACGCTAATACGATTTCTTTCTTCCTCCCGCTCTTTCTTGCTCTCCCACTTTGCCTCGTTCACTTTCTCCTTGCCTTCGAGTGTGTTAGAAAATGTGTAGGGCGTGGGCTCGTGCAAAATCAAGTGTGAAAATTGAGCCTATGAACTTTTCCTTGCCTTTGTGCGCCACATGAACACATGCGAGTATGCCGTCATTCCCCATATCGGCTTCTGACTTTGGATCATTGACACGAAATTAGGAAATCGACGTCGGCTGAACATCAATGAATCAGACAGAGCCCGGAAGAGACAGAGCCAAAGAAGAACTCGGGCCGGAGGATACAAAAATGGCTAACAAGATGAGGCAAAATAATCAGAGAGGATGTGGCTGCGGTGCGCCCTGCCAGGTGCTCTCAGCAACTCTTGCTGCTGTGGATGCTGCCACTGGGATTGCTACTGCTACTGCCACTGCAACTGGAACTGGAACTGAAGCAGCTCAAGCGGAAATTGTTATTTTAAGTGGTAGCGGAAATTTCACTATAAGGATGCTGCTACGATCTAATGAAATATTTCCGTTTTTGTGTAGGTACAGATGCCAGTGATAGCAAGAGATAGATGGAGACAGAGGAGGCAAATGGCTGCTACTGCTACTGCATACATATGCATAGGTACGCACACAAACACACACACACACACACACACACACGCACATCACTGCGAAATAGAAAGAGAGAATGGCCTTTGAATGGAGGCCTGGATTCCCCAGGAGAGTTTATAAATAATTTGTTTTGCCTCTGTTTGATATCGTTCATTTTGCGGTTGATTTATGCGTTGAGCGTCGGAGACCTCACCGCCGTACAGAGAGGCCATACCACAAATTACACATAGAGAGACATGCCATACACTGGGAGCAATTCAGTCTGACTAGTTCAACAAGAAGAGCAGAGCCAGCGATCTTTGCCAGATTATTTAGAATTAATAATTCAGAATTCATTTGTATGATTTATATAATCTTATTTCGTTGCATTTTAGAAGTGGGAAAAATGCTTTTCTTGCTTTCGAGTTTAAATCATTATTATTTAAATACACTTTTATTTTTCTCAGTGTTGGCACATACACACACACACACTTATGCCTATAGCAGACAATGCTGCGCTGACAGCTCCACTCTCTCTCTGGGTGTCGTGTCAAATGCTTGTTGGCGCCTTGCCTTTTTAATAGTAAATGAGCATTTAGCTTTTTACCAAATTAGTCAAAAGTGGACCTACGTGTGGGTGCATATGTACATAGAATATGTGTACATATGTATATATTTGAGTTGAAGCCGCTTCTATTCTCCAGATCAATGGTGAATCCGGCTCGAAGGACCCAATGACCAGACGGTGTTGCTGAGTGGAGTTGTCAGACTTATACACTATCTAAATTCTAAGATAAGAGATGGAGGGATGTACTCTATGTGTCCTCCTTCAGGTGAAAGTATTGCATTGCTTATGGGACGGCATGTGTCGGTCCTTTCCCGCGGTATCCTTCTGTATCTGTGTCTGGACTGTATTGGGTCCTGTTCATGTGGCTGAACAATTTGCATGTAGGCGTAGTAAAGAGCAATATAACAGCAACCACATATCTGCATACATGCATCGTATATATAAATATCTTATTGCTGTCGTGTCAATTAAATATGACTGCTGCTCAAAGTCAAGTTGCCCAAGCTGGGTGAGGAAATATAATACAATTGAACAAAAGCTATTCTTCCCCACTCCTTTGTCCTTTGGCCAATCAATTTGATCCAGTTGAAGGCTGCCTAGAAGGCTTAGCAGATTAACGAATTATATTTCCACGCCTCCCAGCAACGCCTCCTGGGGGCCTATCAGTGCGCCTCAATGTGGGCTACGAATAGAAAGGTGCAATATGATATTTCAACATTTCCTATGGCCCCATAGGGGTGTGTGCCGGGGGCTCTGTGAAATCAAAATTTGAAACTTCTACAATCCTTTGAAACGAGAGATTTTGAGTTGGAAATCTGCCAACAATTGGCCACTAGCTTAACTACTTGATGTGTTGTGGCTCCAGTTGATGTCTTCGGATAAGTTGAGGTATTTCGATGCCATTATAATTGATTTAATTGTTCAATATGAGTGTGCTCGAAGGTGTGAAGCAGAAAGGCACACCCTAAGAAACCGTACGCAAAATTATCGAAAGTTGTCTTGTACATTCATCAAATGATATGATTTTATTTACCGACATAATAACTAAAATAGAATCTACAGATGTATTGGCTCTTGAAGTATTTTGATGTCCTATTCTCCATACAAAGAGGCACTATCTTTTCAAGCAAGGATCGACCAGCCAGGGCCATGAGCCGGGCTTATGAGCAGACAAATGTAGCTAGGCATCTACATGTGGTTAACCCCTTCGGGCTGTTTCTTTTTGTGGCTTTTGGTCAGAGATAAATAGGATGGCTGCACAGCTAAGAGGCGGGCTAAAATCTCCACTAATGCCACTTCATTATTAGCTGCCAAGTCACAGGCCTTAGCTGGGGGGGCCCTCGTTAAGCCCCAACCGCAGAACATTCCACGCCAAGCAACGCCACGCCACGCCACGCCACGCCATGCCACGCCACCATGCATCCATCGAAGAACCAACCACTGTCTCCGGTCTTCGGTCTCCGGGTACACCTTCATCCCGGTCCGGTCGGGTTGCAGTATGTGGCGAATGCCAGTTGCAGAATTTTATGAGGCCTCCGACTGCTTGGGTGTCGCTTTGTCGCCGACATTTGGCCGGGCAGGTGTCAGGCGGCCTTATTGTCCTGTACCCCTGGCTGGTATCCTGGCTGTGTCCCTATTGCTGTTTGCTCTTTGCCAAACCACTAGAGACATTTTTATGAAGCTTCCTGGGCGTCCTAACCAAATCTTTCTCTCTCTCTCTCTCTCTCTCTATGGTTCACCTTACCACTACCCGGATCTGCATCTGTCTGTATTCCAAACGTATTTTCCTGCCCTGGTCTGACTGTCTGTTTCTGTGTGTGCTTTGTGGTCATAAAACGTGAGAAATTCTATGCCAGGGCCAAAAGGAATTATGAGCGCATTTCGGTTTATGACCACTAAACCAGGCTCAGACCTGGCCACAGCCTAGGTGGAGCAATTTGTAAATGTGTAAATGAGACAGCGGGAGATAAACAATTCTAGGACGCTGCAACGCCCTTGTCCAACGACATTCCTGCGATATATTTACGTATATACTCGTATGTATGTATGTGTGCAGCTCGTAATGTTACTTGAATATTGGCAACAAATTTATAAACCAATTAGCCAAAGGGCTACAATAGAAGAACCTCAAATGGCCCTGATGAAGAGAGGCTAAGGCTCATTTGATTCAATCATTACCCATTGTATTGGGCGAAAAACCGCACAGATTTATTGCTAGTGGTGATCTTATGAATATGGACTAAGGTTATACATACCCACATAAGTAACTATCATTAGATTTTCTGGATGTAATCAATATGAGTTTGACCTGAGACAAAAGATTGTGCCTCGCCAAAGACTGTGTATATTGTTGTGGGATTCTGGGACCGACTCAGCTGCCCAAGTCGTTGACGAACAGAAGTCGCGGGACAACGGGAAATGGAATAGGTTCCTAATGCAATATCTCTGTGGTGATACTCTTGTTACCAAAAATAAATAGCACCGTATCGGTATGCGACGTGGTCGTGCCAATCGATAAGTTATAGCCACTTTAGCAACTGAACGCCAAGAACTTCCAGCTTGGAGTAATTCGTCCTTTTCTGGATTACGTTCACCTCATAGTCACATCGGCAGAGCAGACTCTAAGCCACTTATCGCCGTAGATCGTCGTAGAGGGGGAGACGCACTCACCTGAAAACCGTCGTAGGTCCAGCTGCCAAACTTCATGACGCAGGTTTGCTCATCGAACGGAAAGTACTCGACATCAATCTCGCAGGAGCTCTTGTAAATGGCTGGCGGACGCCACTCCACACGTCCCGTGTAGTTCAGAGTGGCTTTGGTGGCCAGCGTCACCTCGAAATTGCCGTCGGCGCTGTTAAGCAGAGCAGAGAAGGAGGAGGAGAAAGGACCCAACGAGCAGGAGATGTATTCAATTAGAAGGTTTAAGCATGAGTGTCTGACAGCTGCAGCTGCAGCTGCCCCGGGGCGAGTACTCACTTGTTGTAGAGCACGATGTCCGGACGCCAGATGTGATCGGAGGGAACGTGGAGCATTTCGACGCCGCCGTACTCCTTTGGCTCCCATTTTAGTTTGTAATCGTACCAGGACTGCTCCACCCACAGATTGGTGGTCATGATTTGGTTCTTTAGATTGACATCAATCAGTTGCGACAGCTTCAGCTTGATGCGAACGGTGAGAGCGTCCGTAACATTTACCACCGGCCGGACAAGTTTGTTGTAATTGCTCAGCAAATCGTCGTACAATCTCTTGGCATCCGGATTCGCTGTGCTGCCTGTGAAAATATGCAAAAACAGACGAGCTCATATGAACAAATTTTGAAATCACACAACGCTTTCCAGTGGCTATGGATGATATGGTATGTGTTGTGATATGGTATGGGAATAACGGCGGTCAGTCCAAAGGTATTCAGATCTGACAAATATACGTAGTTTTATCGATGGGGATCGGTATCGTAAAAACACAATAAAACATGCACTAGGTAAACTCTTAGGAAGCACATTGATCCAAATTTATTCTAGCGGATATTTAGCAAAAAACGCGAAAGAATGAAGGTGCCGATCCTAAGCTAAATGAAGTTTTCCCCTAGCATCTAGTACATATTTTATTGAATTCAAGCCAACTAAATCGGAACTTGTAATTTCATTGCCTTCTGACCATTCCATTCCATTCGATTTGTGTCTTGCCATCCACCTATATCCAGCCATTGTTTCATTTATTCCGCCATTTCGCGGACATAGTTCAATGGGCAGCCACTCCCCCACTCTCCCACCCCACTCTCCCACCCCACTCTCCCACCCCACTCTCCCACCCACTGGCATGCCTCTTCCTCGGCTACAACACAACATTATGTATATATTCTCACATTATGGTCATTGTTCCTATCGTCCCATCTCCCGCAGCCGCCAAAGTCAATTAATGTGCGGGACATTAAATTAATGATATACGCTGATAACGGATAAACATGCAGAATATGCTTGACCAGGCGGACCACGCCCCCAACCATCTATCCAGCCATCCATCCAGCCATCCAGCCCAACACCACCCATTAACATTGTCTGGCTAATCTGACTGTCGAATGGGTCGCTCTGCTAATTAGCTTTTCGCTTTAGAGGCCTTTGGGGGGGGGCGACCGCATTCGGGGGGGCTGGGCTGGGATCTTTTGGCTTTCACTTTCGCTGCGGTTGCCAAAAAAATAGAAAAAGAGAGATACAAAGGAGAGCAAAGAAAGATGGGAAATCTTTTAATTGATTTATTTTCTCCTGTCTGACATAATTTGTATTGGGCTCTGGGTTCGGCTGGGGGGCAGTCGCTCCCCTCCCCCTCAATTCAGTGGGTTTTTTCATCTCGATTCCAATTCGAGGAACTAACTATTTTAATGCGCTTAGACTTCTGAGAGGAGCATTTTTATTGCTCGCTCTGCTTTCATCTGGCATCGCCCTCTGGTATGTCCTCCGCGGGATCGGTTCGGCAGGGGCCCCATCACCATCCGGTTCTATGTAATAATGATAAGCTGATTAGCGCAAGCCTCGCATAATGACATTGGCGACATTTTACAGCTGCCCCGGTCCTGTTGCCTCTGCCGCTGCCGATGCCTTCCCCCGTTCCCGTGCCAGTGGCCGCACTGTACTAGGCTTCGTCTGACCTGACGGGGGCTCCCGCTAAACCCTCGGGCTATGCTTCCACCCCCAGGCGAGGATGCCAATCAAGCTGGCTCCTGGCTCCTGGCTCCTGACTCTCCTCGTTCCGCTTTCGTCGTGCTCGGCTTGGTTTGCATGCCAACCCGGAGAGAGCTGAGAGCTGGCTGAGAGAAGAAAAAGCATGAGCGGAGTGGCAGCGGGAGGAGCAGCAACAATAGGGCCAACGCTTGACTGAGCTTTTGTCCCACCCGCCTGGCTGAATCCTGTCGCTATTCCTTAGCCCAGTTGATGGTCTGGTCCCACTCCTGCTGTCGTTATAGCCTTTTGCCCGATGCTCTTTGCTGTTGGCTGTTGGTGTTGGTGTTGGTGTCGCTGGCATTGACGGCGCATTAACTCATTTCCTGCATCATTAAGGGGCACCTGCAATTTTCGCACATTTACGCCACAGACGTGTCCAGGATATAAGAGACGCCATCTGCATCTCTTCTCGCCCACTCCCCTGCTGTGTGCGGGCTGGGGACTGGCATAAAAGGGCCAAGGAAATTTGAATAGAGATTGACTACAGGTCAGGATTAATTTGCTGACTATTGGGATCGATCTCCAGACAGGCACTAAGAGGATTCAGTGGAAACGAGGCACGATTTTTTTTTTTTGGTTCCTATCGGAGCACTTCCTATGTGAATGTCCTGCAGATAGATCTGAACAGGAGATCTCACTAGCAGATGCAAAGGAAATAATGACCTATCGTTCCCAAGTCCAAGTTTCTTTACCTGCTTATTGATCTGCCCCACAATTTCATCTCGGCAGAGTCAGAGTCACATCTGCTGTTCCTAATTTTTGGTTACAATACATTTAGCGGTTGGTCTAAGCATCTTAAACGAGCCTTGAGGCAGTGGCAGAGAGTAATTTGAGCAGCACATGGCCTTGCCACTGCCCAAACCCAAACCCAAGCCCAGCCACTTCCATTTTCACTTTCACTGCCATTGCCATTGCCGTCTCTTGCTCATTCATTTGGCAAGGTGTGCGTTTTTGGTGACGACTTTTATGTTACACTGTGCACGGATATGTATACATATGTCTATGGCTTTGTATTGTTGCTCGCGTGGGAAACGTTAAGTTAAACGGACCTTTGCGGCGACCGCTTTTGCCCACTGCCCCCCCACCTTTTGGGCCGTGTAGAGCTGTCATATGAGGCGTATGCTGTATATTGCCTAATCATATCTGTGTCTGGGTTTGTGTGGCTGAGTGCTGTTTGTGTGTCTGTGTGTCTGTGTGGGTGTTAATCGACTGGCTGTTTCCCTGTTTGTGTGTGACAATCACATTAAGGTAACTAAAAAAAGCATTTTATGATTGCTTTGCGTGTTCTCTGCCTTGGCTCGCTCTGTTCATCGTTATAAATGTGTTTATTGTCACAAAAATACTCCCACAGCCATACACATGCATAAAAGCACACACAGATACACACAGATGTACATATGTGCAAGTATTTTGAGGACAGAAACATCCAATGAAAGTTGATTTGTGGCGGCTTCTACTCGATTGTATCTCGGCCACGTTTGCTACTGAATCTACAACCGTATCGCTCTTTGAACTTATACCTGAATCGGAATCTGACTCTAGTGCTGAGTGTAAAGCTTTGAAGTTATGAACCTAATTGATAAGGAAATGTCCAATTAAATTTCCATTTGAATGGCTAACCTCATTTTACCTGAAGTTACCGAGCCCTGCTCGGGGCTCGGATGGCAATTGAAGTTTGACTTCTAATTAAAGCATTTTGCATCATTGTGATTGTCGCATCCGAAAATGCTCGGCTCCCTTTTGGCCACAAACAAATACAATTTCCTTGTCTTTATTGGAACTTCTCTCATCCTCCCATTCCATATGGTATGCATAAAATGTCCAGAATTCAGGTTGGTCCTAACATTTCTCCATTGCTTTGTCCCTCTCTCTCTCTCTCTCTCTCTCTGTTGGACTGACCTCGTTACAGTTGTGTGTCCGACTCCTGAACAATTATGTGCTCCTCTTCCGGTTTTGTTCTGTTGTTCAAGCTCTATCCACCTTCCACCTCCCATCCCCTTGTCCACCATTCCATACAGGACCATGGAGAGTACCAAACACTCTTCACACACACACATTAGGGTTTTCTGCATGTGCCACCATGTAGTCCTTGTCCGTAGTCCATGAACTTCTGATTAGTTTAGCCTTGCACGACGGAGAAGCGTTTCCAGCGGCGACAATATTAATGAATATACAGAGGCAGCCACGCACACGTAACCATACTCACACTCGCACTCACACACTCGTATGCATACAGTTCGTTTCGCGACGTTAAGTCGGATTCGAGCAAGACTTGAACGAATAATTTGAGCAAATGTAGGTACAAGATGGCGAGCCAACCGTCAATTATGATTTTCTATACAAAAATAATTAATATCAGAACATCTTCTTATTATTAAAAGTGATTTAATCGAGAAGTACTTCACAAAGAGCCCTTAACTCTGTGCTCTGGGTAGAGGGCCAGGCTCCGCCCCATTTGCCACTTTTCCTTTCAATTAAATTGCGACTTAAAATAATCCCGACTTATTTATTTATAGTACATACAAAGTAAAATATTCGTTTTCTGACTTCTCGTTTGTTTTTTCTTTGCTTGTATACTGTGGGACACGGAGAGCTCCCCCATTTTATCGTTTGCCCTATTCGGTGGCCCCTCAACACGTTGAAGGCTCAGTGCGGCTTAGCGGCCACATGGAACCAATTAGCTCAAAATGCACCCCCACTATGCGGCTGAAACGCACTGTACAGACTACGATGTATACGATGCGATGCGTTAGAAAGTCTTCTCATTGCCTCTAATTATCCAGTGGTACGCGATGCCTTTAATTAGTCACCGGCTGTGGGTGTGGCCTTTGTTGAAAGATGTTAACGAATGGCATTTGAAAGTGGCTCAAACGATGGATCGCCTGGGTGGTCTCCTCCCCTCCCACTGCCCCCACACCGCCCGTTGTTGCTGCGGTGAATATCTCACCAATCCTGGGCCAAATTTCCCTAGCAAATATTTATAGATGGTATGCTGAACGAGGGCCACACAACAGGCACGTGTTTCTGCCTCATCTTCATTGTCATTTTCATTTCCATCTGCAACTTCCACTTCCACTTCCAGTTCTTTTTTGCTTTAGGTTTTTTCTTCATTTGTAACCGGTCTTCCACTTGTGCTAGTGTGCTTCTGCTTTTCAGCTAGTTCTTTTTCCAGGTTTTTGGCGCTTCGTCTAGTTCTTTTTTGACTCTTTTTTTTCGTTTCTTTCCCGTTTTGCTTACTCAACTGCAAAGGAGAATGCAATTTTTGTGTAAACAACGCCATAAATTCCAATGGAACTAAACAACAAAACGTTGGCATTGGCAGACAAGGCCGAACAGGTTGGGAATAACAGAATGAAAGAGACGGGAAGAGTGTCAAAGAAAGTGAGAGAGAGAAGGAATGTGGGGGTGGGAGCTGCAGCAAAAGAAAGCATTGAAATCATCATGAAAATGTTGGTCCACTTCGCTTATTGTTTGTGAGCTGGGTCCGAGCCGAGGCTGAGGCTGAGTCCGAGAAGGGTTTGTTCTGCTCGCAAATTTACACCCAATTATTTCGAGC